TATAAACTTTGAATCAGGTGCATAGTGTGTAGGCAAGTCAAATCTATAACAATTCCTCATCGATTGTACACACCATTGCCCATACAAAACTCACGTTGGGTTGACCTAAGTATGAAATTCATAGTAGGCTTGCCATGGACTCAAAGAGGATTTGATTCTATTTTTGTGGTAGTGGATCGTTTTTCAAAATGGCTCACTTTATTCCATGCCACAAAGTAGATGATGCTAGTAACATGGCAAGGCTATTCTTTAGAGAAGTGATGAGGTTACATGGTATGCCTAAGACCATAGTCTCAGATAGAGACACCAAATTCCTAAGCCACTATCAGAGAACACTTTTGAGTAGGCTAGGTACCAAAATCCTCTTCTCTACCACCTATCACTCACAAACTGATGGCCAAACTGAGGTTGTCAATAGGCCTTTCACAACTATGCTTAGGATAATCATAAAAAAGAACATTAAATCTTGGGATAAATGTATGCCTTATATGGACTTTGCTTACAACCATATTGTAGACTCTAGCACTAAATCCACACCTTTTGAAATTGGAAATGGGTTTAACCCCTTTAGACTTCTTGCCTTTACCAAATTCGTCTTCAGGAAAAAGCTAAATTTGTTAAAAAGTTGCATGAAAGGGTTAAGGTACAACTAGAAAAGAAAATGGAACATAATGCTAGAATGGCCAACAAAGGTAGGAAGGAAATAGTCTTTGAACCGGGTGATTGGGTTTGGGTTCATCTTAGGAAAGAAAGGTTTCCCTAGCTAAAAAATCTAAACTATAACCTAGGGGAGATTGATCATTTTAGGTAGTAGAAAGAATTAACAAAAATGCATACAAGTTAGACCTTCCAGGAGAATTTAATGGGAGTGCCACTTTTAATGTGACTGACTTGACTCCTTTGGATGTAAGTGATTATGATCAGGAGCGTAAGATCTTGGATAGTATAAATTCGTGGCCAAATTCTTTTCAAGAAGGAGGTGATGATGTGATCCAGTTTAAGCACCCAGCAAAGGCGAGGGAGTTAGAGGCTTTTCATGGGCCTAGACCAGGACTAGGGCCAAGAAAGCTCAGCAAGCCTTATCCACACTTGTAGCACATTTAGAGGCCCACCACATGGAGGTCATAGGATCACACATGTATACATTTTTTACTTTCATTGTTCATTTTTAGAATAGTTTATTTTGGGCCTTGTATTTTGGCCATGGGCCTGAAAAGCCCATTAGGCTTTAGGGTGGAGTCTCTTGTATTTTGTTTGGGCTTGTATTAGGTCATGTTTCAAGACATCTATTCAACCCAATCTCCATCCCCTTTCTTTTCCTTGTTTTGATGGCCCATTAAAGACCTTTTTAAGCCTTGAGTTAGCTTGCTTATATATAAGCTAATCTCCTTTGTAACTTTTCATATTAGAATCATTTGATGCATTTTTAGCATTTGTCTCTTCTTCAGCGAGTGAGTTTTTCTCTGAATTTTGTCATTGAAAATTTCATAACCACACTCTTATCATGGATTCTTCCATGTGGTGAGTTCATTGGTGATTATCTCCAATCCTTTCGAGTGGTGTGCTACATTATTCTTCTATTTTTCTTGCTTTTCGCTTACCTTTTCCTCTTCTTTGGTGCTGGATCCATGAATTGCCACACATACATGCTCAAACCTCGGCTGAAGTTCTCTTGGACGGTCCTATTTCTTAGTCATTCTTGAAGAAAGCTTGAAAGATCACATCACGTGTTATCTAAAGCCTCCTCCAAGAGGTATTGTTTCTACAAATTTTGTATTGATGTAGTTGTTATTTCCAAAATTTGATTGCATATTATACTTCTACACCTTCATTTTATTGGAAATCCTTTGGCTGAACATGTTTCAGTACTTTGTTCTTCATTTGGCACCAAATTCGGTTTGAATTTAAAACCTAGATCTATCTGTTTGGAATTTTGATGATCAGATTTAAGATCTAAAATCTCATTCCATGCGCATCAAAACCTTGTAAATTCATCCAAAATTTGAATACTTTCAAAATTATACATTCTTGGCGCGGATAAATCTAGATTTTACTATGTTTTTAGGTAGTTTTTTATGTTGTTTTGATAGAAAAATATAATTCGAAAGGTGAAAACTGCACAAAAATATATAAATATTCAATAAAGTTAATTTTTATCTTTAGTAACTCAAATTGTGTGAATTTAATATAGAATTATGATGTAATTTTGTTGATTGAACTAGTTTTGTAGGAGATTCCAAGCTAAGAAGAGTCTTGAGGATAAGGATTCAAGAAGAGAAAATAGAAAAAAAGTTGAAGAATTGGACTTAAAAAGTGAAGAATCAAATGATGAATTCTGAAAGTTATCACTCTGGACGCATATAGTGACAACTCTGGAGTGGATTCAGCAAAATAGAGTGGAAGTATTCACTTTAAATACTCAAAGTGAACACTTCAAAGCTTTAATCTAGAAGAAGAGGTGAAAGTGTACACTTTAAATATTCAAAGTGAACACTCCAGAGGTGTAAATTCAATAGAAGTCTGTGCATAATAACTTTAAGTATTCAAAGTGAACACCTCAGAGGTATAAATTAAAAGGAAACCTAAGCGGTAACACTTCAAGCATTCAAAATTAACAGGCGCAGGCTTGTTCTTCAGAAGAAGGTTGTGCGGTATCACTTCAAGCGTTCAAAGTTCACACGCGAATAAACAAGAGCTATGTGTTACCACTTTTTATACATAAAGTGTTCACTTTAGAGAAATTTTGGCTTGAAGAAGGTTGCGCGTGTACACTTCAAGTGTTTGAAGTGTAAACGTGCGTGACAAGACTTTGAAGAACCACATAAAGTGTTCACTCTAAGTGTTTAAAGCGATCACCTCAGACTGGGAATGTTTCAGAAGACCTTCTACGTGTTCACTTTAAGTGTTCAAAGTGAACACATCAAAAAGGCAAAAAAAATTTATAAAAAGCCAGAAACTCAAATCTTTTGGGATCTTTTCTCATTTTTTCATTTCTACACCCTAGGAGAGTTAGAGAGAGATTGGAGACGATTTTCAAGCTCTAGACCTTAAGGAATTAGGTTGGAGATTAGATTTTTGAAGAAATTCTATACCTCTTCTTTTTATACTCTTTCTTTATCTTTTTCTTTTAAGAACATGTTCTGATTTCTTTTTGTTAAGATAGATGGATCCGATTTTGATATTGTAAATTGATTATGGATCTAGATTTTAAGACTTTTATTGTATTGAACATTTAATTCTATCCTTAATGCAATTTTTGGATTAGCTATTCAATTGAATTAAACCTAGAGGATTTTCATCAATGGAAGTTGAGTTAATTTCTCATATCTGAATTGAATGTCAAGGTTATTGATATCTTAGCGATAAGCATTCATGATCTTGTGATCTCTTCATTTTAATGCTTAATGCAATGTTTGATTGATTTTCACCTAAGGAATTAGGGTAATTAATTGAAATTAGGATCAATGAATCAAGGAATTGAACTTTGATTAATTTAGTAAAATTGATCATCAATTAATTAAGGAACTTAAAGTTCATATCTCATTCAGTTTTGCAATTGATAAAGAAGTGAAATTCTTAAATTTATTCACATATCATTCCATTACCAAATTCGTTACTCTGTTTTGTTGTGATTTTCTTATTTCTGCACTTTATTGATTTTGTTCTCAAATGATTCAAAACATCTTTAATATTCGCTTGACTCAACCAGTTATTGATTTGTGAAATGGTAATTGAAAGAACTAATCCCTGAGGATGATACTTGGGACTCAAACAAATTCTAAATTTTATTACCTGCTATAACTACCTAGTACACTTGCTAGTTAGTGTTCTTTGAGCTTTGTGATAAGTTTTTGGCGCTGTTACCAGGGATTATTTACTTTCAATATCATTAGTAGCAGGGAGATAGCTAAATTGAGCATTTCTTTTTGTTGCTTTGCTTTCTAATTTTTTTTGCATAAATTTTTTATGCATTTTTGTAGTTTTCTGCATTATTTTCTGCTGCTTTCTTCATAATTTTGTTTCTTTTTCTTTTTTTTGCATAATTGTAGATTTCATTCTACATGAGTTGTTTTGTATTTTTCTGCATAGCTGTTTAATTTTTATTTTTTTTTGCATAATACATTTTTGTTTTTGCATTTTGTTGTTCTCTGCATAGATTCTGCATTATTTTCTATTATTTGTTGCATAATTTTTTTGTATTCTTCTGCATATTTTTGTTTTTCATTTTTCTGTATAATTGTAATTTTCATTCTACATAATTTCTGTATCATTTTCTATCAAATTCTATATGATTCTGTTTTGTATTTTTTTTGCATAACTGTCTAATTTCTTTGCATAATTCATTGTTGTTTTTGCATTTAGTTGTATTTTGCTGCAATGTTATGCAATAATTTTCTACATAATTCATTTTTACTTCTCTATAATTCTCTAATTTTATTTAAATTTTTTTTACTTTTATTTTGTATACAAGGAAAAACAAAAAATAAAGTTGTTTTATGGTTTGATCTGGATATAGAAAAGACTCTTAAGCAAAGGTAAAGAAGTTGCAAAAGAAAGTGTAGAAGATAACATCCACTTTTGAAGAACTAAGTGTGAACCAAACACTATCAAAAAGAATAATATGGCTTAAAACAACAAGACAAGGACTTTGGCAAATTATGTCATTCCATCTATGTGGGGTTACAATTCGAGTATTGTTAGACCAATAATTCAAGCCAACAATTTTGAGACTTGCATTGGTGAAATTGATACAGCAAGATCAGTCTTCTGGAAATGTTTTAGATGATCCCAATTTGCATCTTTATAATTTTCTATAGCTATGTGATACCATTCGTATCAATGGTGTAAGTGAAGATGCTATCCGCTTGAGATTATTTCCCTTCTCTCTTAGGGACAAGGCTAAATATTGGCTTCAAGCTCAACCACAAAGAAGTATCACTACTTGGACTCACTTAGTGAACAGATTTCTAACTAAGTATCTTTTACCATCAAAATCTACCAAGTTGCAAAGTGAAATCACCTCTTTTGTTCAATAAGATGGTGAATCTCTTTATAATGCATAGGAAAGATATAAGGATCTACTAAGATGTCCTCATCATTGCATTCCAAAGTGGATGCAACTGGAAACTTTATATAATAGGATGAATGTTGTTACAAGAACCATGGTAGATGCAACAGCAGAAAGTTCATTAAATACTAAAATTATACAGAAAGCTTAGCAATTAATTGACATGCTGGCAACCAGCATGTATCAGAATTTTAATAAGAGACATGTTACAAGTAAGGGAGCATTTGAAGCAAAGGCACTTGAGACTTTGATCACCCAAAATCAGATGTAAAATCAATTGCTTTCTGAACAACTTGCAGTCTTGACTCAACAAATCAATACTTTTCAAGTTGAAGCTATAAAAACAAACTATTTGATATGTGATTTTTGTGCAGAAAATCATATGAATGGAGGATGTAATATATTTACACCAAAACCTCAAGAGCAAATTAATTACATGGGTGATTTTCAAAGGTCTCAACCTCCATTTCTTCTAATTTTCAACATCAAGCCAATGAGTCAACCACATTATAAATAGAATCAACAAAGTCCTACATCAAAAAGTAATATCGCAGTAGCACCATTGTTCAATGCCAATTTTCAACCTCCACAATTATATTGTCAAACTTCTTCATCTCAACCTCCAAGAAGGCCACAATTTTCAAAACCTCTATCTGAGAAAATGAATGAAATAGAAGAAACACTGCTACAATTTATGAAAGTTACATAATTTAGCTTCAAAAATCAAGAGGAATCTATGAAGAAGTTGGAAACTCAAATAGGACAACTTTCAGAGTAGTTGGCACAAAGGGATAAGGATAGATTCTCTAGCAATACTATTGTGAATCCAATGGAGCAATACTATACTATCATAGTAAGAAGTGGAGTTGAGGTTCCTAATCCTAAAGATGAGGAGAAAAAGATAGTTACAAAGAATGTTGAAGAAAAAGAAGCACAAGACAACTTGTAAAGAGGTAAATTCACTCTTTTAAAAAAGGAAAATTTAGAGGATAACAATTGCACTAAACCAAAAGGAAGAACCAATAAGCAGGAAAAACAAAATGATGATTTTATCATAATAGAAGTCCTTGCTGCAGTGACATATCAAGATGATGAAGTGGAGGGAAAGAAGCTTAGTGAGTATATCAAGCAGCTAGAAGTCCCTCTATATTTATTTCTTTCAGGTTCTCAATTAAATGAAGAGTTGTAAATTGGTAAAAAAGAAGGAGAAATGTTTGAAGATAGAGCAAAAGCTGTTATCATCAAAATCATCTCCTAGAGCCAAAGATCAATAGGTGTCAAACTAGTGAGGTTAAAAGAGCGCTTTGTGAGAGGCAACTCACATTTCTTTCCTTTTCCTTCTTAACTAAACTAAGAAAACATAAAAATATGTATATGTTCATAATTATTTGTGTATTAGGTTCCTTTTTTCATTTTGTGATGAATAATTCAGAATCCTTCTTTCATTTCTGTATTTTTGAGTAAATGAATTGTTTGTGTACTTCTTCATATGAATATTTTTGATGATGGATTGAATCTGCCTTGGTGTGCTCTGGTTGAAGTGAGATGCTTTTGTACGTGCCTAAGAGCTTCATTTTGGCCCGTATTCTTACGAGAACCACCAAGCTACCTTTTTTAAGCTTTGCCAAGTGGGGTCGTTGTTCACTATCAAACTTCTTTTGAGTTGATTTCAAATTGCATCATTAGCGGTCCTCAAAAACTCTACTCAACTAATTTATTTTAAGGTTACGACATGATATTCAACGAGAATTAGCCATTTTGCTACCTCACTGTCTTTCTCAAGCATTGGGATTGGCTAAACTTATTAAAGCTAAAATATGTGACACCCACTCCTTGTCACATGATGGTAAGCAAGTGTAGCCGTCAAAAAGTAATAAATGGTTCTAAAACTAAGTTCTTGATATATCATCCCACAAAGATTATTTCCAATTACTAAGAATTTTTCAGTTTAATTAAAGGATATGAAATTAAATAAAACAAGAATTCAAATATGAAAGTGATTAAAATAGAACTAAAAATAGCACAACATCTCACAAAGATTATTTCCAATTACTAAGAATTTTTCAGTTTAATTAAAGGATATGAAATTAAATAGAACAAGAATTCAAATATAAAAGTGATTAAAATAGAACTAAAAATAGCACAACATCTGATAATAAACTAATTAAGAAGAACTTAGAGTGTATGGTTTCATCTTTACAAATCTTTATGTTCTTTTTTAGATTAAATCCAATTTCAGTTTCCCTGTGATTGTCAATCATTCATACTAAAGTTATTAAAACCCAATGGTCATGCAATGTTAACTGTCTTTTTCTTAAGCTATTACCCCTAATAATCATGTAAGGTAAAAGGAAGATAAAGCATAAAGAATCTATGAGCTGTTAATTTAATAATGATTAAAAGAAAAAGATTGATTTAGTCCACCTAATCCTTTATCTTGTTTTATCCTATAGATTCATTAACTATATGTGATATGATTACCTACAATATAATTAATTATGATATATTTAAAAGTTGTCAATTTCAAGCATACAAATATAATGCACTAGGGTAAACACCAATCAAGAAAAGAAATGTGAAATTATTATAAATAAAAAATATCCCATAAAGTCATTCAAAGAATTCACCATAACCCTAACTATGGATTTAGTCAGATATAATATAAAAGAAAATTAAAACAATACTAAACAAATCCATAGAACTCGAAAAGTAAATATAAATTAGAGAAGTCTCCAATGGAGAAGAGACGAGGAGAGCTCTTGATCTAATCTGCTCCTGAAACTCCAATAGTCACCAACGACTGGCCAATATCAAGGTTGGGGATGTGTGGAAGGGATGAGATGGAAACCAGATAGAAAAACATGATGTATAAAGTGTAAAAACAGGGTGCCCAATCACTGCCCCCAAGGTCTCTTTTAATAGGTTTGAAAACCCTAAAATTTCTTGATAGTTGAGCTTCTCGCAGGTGAGCATGACCGTGCAGGTATATAAGCATGGTCGTGCATGTTCTTGAAGCACCCTCATGTTGGATGTAAGGGAATAGGCGTACTTACTACTGCAAAACTCTATTTTCCAATCAATTTGGATTTAAAATGCACAAAAAAACTTAATTATGGCTTTCTTATATTAATCTGCATAATAATAATAGAAATTAGTGTAAAAACATGATAAAATAATGGGCACAAATAAATATATAAGTTATAAAAACATGTTAAATTACAAACTTATTATCGCATCACTTTTACCAACACTTCTTCATTGTTGTCATTACTACCTAACCTTCCTGCCCAAACACCTCTTTGATACGCTGATTAACCCCTACATAAATGCAAGATCAACATGCTAATGACTTGTACTTCAACTTTGATGATAAGTTTCACCCTAGTCACAAATTTGACACCAAACTATTTTCTCTTGTGACTCAATAATAAAGATGACATTAACCTTATGTCTGCTTCAGTTACCGTTAACGTGTTAGATGTTGACCCTTCCCCTATTCCAACCACCCTTTTTTATCACCAAATGAAGGCTTTAATTCAATTTTATTCCAATTATCTAGCGCTATTGTAATGGGAGTTTCCACACCACAAACCCTTCGCATTGTGGGTATCATTCATGGCCATTTGGTAATTTGTCTAATTAACATTGGTAGTTCCCACAATATTTTACAACCTACCATTATGTCTTTTTTGCGATTACTAATTTCTCTATCCCCTATTTCTTATGTCATAGTGGGGAATAGTGAGTATATTAAATGTACAGGCGTGCTATTATACCTTTAGTTCTTAAATATCATCAGTTTGACATTCCTCTTTATTTGCTACCTATACAAGGGGCAATGTTGTACTTGGAATGGCTTAGTGGGTCCTTGGGCCATTGACTGGACAATTCTCATCCCAATATTATTCCCTCACGTATCACCAACTTTCTCACACCCTCTCCACTCACTCCCTTGCTTTGTCTTATACCATTCTCTTTCTTCCTACTCACCATTTCAAGTCTTCCTATCTTGTTATCTTTACCTTCGCTAATTATGACCACCTATCATATTACCCTAATCCCAAGCTCCACCAGATACTCACCGAATTTGCCTCAGTCTTTGATGTTCCTCAAGGTCTTTCCCCTCCACGTGCCCATGACCATCACATACATATCCTCCCTAACTCTTCACCGCTACCCCCACTGCCTAAAAAAGACTATAAATAACATGATTTCCGAAATGTTGCAAGATGAAAATATCCAACCCAATACAAGCCCTTTCTTTTTCCTTTTTTTTTATCAAGAAGAAGAATGACACATAGCAATTTTGTGTAGATTATCAAACTCTCAATGCCATTACAGTTAAAGATCGTTATCCTATTCCTACAGTGGATGGACTTATGGATGAATTGTTCTAGGTATCACCAAATTCGAATCGCTGTAAGGGATGAGTTCAAGACAGTTATTTGCACCATTAATAAGAATTATGAATTTCTTGTCATGTCATTTGGCCTAACTAATGCCCTTTCATCATTTATGGCAGCCATGAATGACCTCTTTTACCTTTTTCTTTGCCAATTTGTAGTAATTTTCTTTGATGACATTCTTATTTATAGTCACACATGAGATGAACACTTAAGTCACTTATGCCAATCTAAATTTTTTGCTAAGTTATCCAAGTGCATTTTTGGGGTAGATTCCATTGATTATTTGGGTCACATTATCTTTGCTCAAGGTGTGGGTACTGGCCCCTCCAAAATTCAAACCATCTTGGATTAGCCAAAACCCTAGTAGAGCATTGCACTTTGAGGATTTGGGGCCTCACAGGATACTACTGACGATTTGTGCGCCATTATGCCACTATTACTAGCCTTCTTACTGACTTACTCAAACAATGTCCTTATTCATGGAACTCGGCAACATCAACAGCATTTCATCGATTAAAAATTGTAATGACAACCTTTCTAATTTTATAGTTGCCTAATTATAATTTTCCCTTTCATGTTGATAGTGATGCTTCAACCATTGTTATGGGTGTTGTTCTCTTCCAAAACTCA